GGGGTGGCTAATTAGCTCCTGTGGCTTGGTGTCATTGAAAAACACCTGCTCATTTGTAGAAGTGTCCAAAAGAAAGATAATGTTCAGATGCCTAAGGAATGGGATAGTGAATGACCTGGTCGGAACATGCGCTCAGTTTTGATCACCCAATCTCTATAAAGGATATAGCAGATAGAAAGGGGATTTCGGAGACAGGCTATGAGAATCGGGGAGGCTTCCTGATGCAGGCAGACTGAAAAGTCGGGAACTGTTAGTTTAGAGAAGAGACAAAGAATCATACAGTCATAGAAGATGAAGTTTGGATAATACCTCGGGATGTCATTCAGTACAATCCCCTGCTCAAAGCAGGACCAACACCAACTAAATCATCCCAGCAAGAGCTTTGTCAAGCTGGGCTTTAATAACCTCAAAGGATGGAGATTCGACCACCTCCCTAATTAACCCATTCCAAAGCTTCACCACCCTCCTAGTGAAATAGTGTTTCCTAATATTCAAACTAGACCTCGCACACTGCAACTTGAGACCACTGCTCCTTGTTCTGTCATCTGCCATCACTGAAAACAGTCTAGATCCATCCTCTTTGGAACCACCGTTCAGGGCTGCTAGCAAATCTCCCCTCACTCTTCTCTTCTGTAGACTAAATAAACCCAGCTCCCTCAGCTGCTCAGGGATAGCTCAGTGGTTTGAGCATTGGCCTGCTAAATTCAGGGTTGTGAGTTCAATCCTTGAGGGGGCCATTTAGGGATCTGGTTCAAAATCAGTAATTGGTCCTGCTAGTGAAGGCAGCGTGCTGGATTCTATGACCTTTTGGGGTCCTTTCCAGCTCTATGAGAGAGGTATATCTCCATATATTATATGCCCCAGCTCTCTAATAATTTTTGTTAATTTTATATCAGTATTCTGCTTAACTGCCAGGGGGCAAATTTGTCACGTACACATGGGAGAAAGAAGAAGGGAAAACATCAGCTATAGGTTGTCTTAACTCAGGAAGATCCTTCAAGAGGAAATGTAGCCAAACTCCAAACCTGGAGACAATGGACCTTTCTGTGCCTGCGTCCTGTAGATAAACTGCTTGGTTTGCAAAATAAGCAAGGAGGAGGGGGCACGTAGATGAACAATAAGGGGTCATAAGAAGGGCAGATACATGTAGCTTGCTAATTATGTATGGTAATGATGGCAAATTTTGGCCAATCATAGAGAGATTATCATAAGCAACTGCATATAATGCTTTGGTGTAAGTGTTTCCTTTGTTCTTGCTGACTTATGAGCTCGAACCCAATTGCAATTGAAATAAATGTATAACCCCTCCCGGGGTTCCTTGCTTGATTAGCTGTGTCCGTCTCTCCTTATACCTCAGCTGGAACGGACAGATATTTCAATGACTGTTTTGGTGACCACGAAGGGACTTCTCCAGCTCGGAACCGCTCCGGGGCCCCTCCCTCGAGAAGGACCAGCACATGCCGAGGTGACTTTACCTTGGGTTGTATTGCCTTGGAAGTTGGCCCCCGGCGGGGACGATAAGGAGGACTCTGAGAGACGGACCACAAGCAACGAGACAGATCATGTTGGAAGAGGCTTCATCAGGAGACGGGTAAATTGTCTCTGTTTTGTGTTATGTGTACATGGGGGTCTTAAACCCAACGGTTTCCTTGGGACAGCCTCGGTGAAATTACTGGGACATCCGTCTGGCAGTTAAACACTTTTAGAGTGCCAGCCCAATATAAAAACAAGTTTCGGATGACAGGAGATTACCCAAGCAGGAACAGAGGCCGACTGGATAGGCTGGGTGGTCTCCCCGGTACATAAAGGAAACCGTCACTGACTCCAGGGCTTTGTTCTCGGTAACACTGCGGATGGTGGAGAACTGAAGCAGGGAATTTAGGAGTCAGTTAGACCTGAAATGGGAAATTGTCAGGGGAAATTCGATGCCGGCACACTTCTGGGATGTGTTCTCAGGAATTGGGGAAGACTTCGCATCAAAACCTTGAGAACCATCCTGGAAGATTTAAAACGCGAACGAATGAATTATTTGTATTTGTTTTATAGCTCTGCTCCAATTTGCAAAGATAAAGAGTGCACTCTCATGTTACAACAAACTAAACCTCCTCCTTACCAGCAGTGTAGAGTAGAGGAAAATGATTATAGGCCTGTTCCCCCACGAGCTGTGTCCCCTCAACCTGTTCCCATTCAGGTAAATCAGGTGGTCCCAGGCACCGCCTCTGCACCGGTGTAGGATCTGCCTCTAACCCTATCCCAACCCCGAGCCACATTGTATCCTGATCTGCCAGTGGCCTTTAATACCCGAAGCCACGTTCGCAGGCGAAGTCTGCCTGACTCCTCGACCGGCTCATGGAGTCGGTCTCCCGAGTGTGTTCCTGGAGACGTCAATTTCAAGCTCATTAAACAAGAAGGACAGGAGTCTCCGTTACTCCAATTGCCCTTAGGACTGTACACTGTTCCTTCCGGAGAGGGTCAGGTTGTTGACGGCTATGTCCACACTCCTTTCTCTATCGGTGACGTATTGAATTGGAAGATTACCACCCCAAAAGTCAGGGATGACCCAGAATCTGTACATAGGACATTGAAAGAAAGGAAACAAGTGCTCAATCTAGCTTAGGAGTCTATAGGTGATTTACCCCCACCACCACCAGGACGGAATGCCCTGACAGCAGGAAATGTAACTGGGGGTGATCCTAACTGAGATTACAACAATGCTGGAGAACAATATAAGTTAACCTCTTTAAAGACTGTAATTTTAAAACAACACGGAGTCTGGTGGCACCTTAAAGACTAACAGATCTGTTAGTCTTTAAGGTGCCACCAGACTCCTTGTTGTTTTTGTAGATACAGACTAAGACGGCTACACCCTGATACTTGTAATTTTAAATGGAATTAAGAAGGTTGGGCAGAGAACTACTAATTGGAGTAAAGTAACTTCTGTCCATCAAGGCCCAGATGAACACCCCTCAGACTATTATGAAAGACTGATGAAAGCTGCTTGGTTGTTTGGTGGTCTAGATCATAGAATAATAGAATCATAGAATATCAGGGTTGGAAGGGACCTCAGGAGGTCATCTAGTCCAACCCCCTGTTCAAAGCAGGACCAATTCCCAACTAAATCATCCCAGCAAGGGCTTTGTCAAGCCGGGCCTTAAAAACCTCCAAGGAAGGAGACTCCACCACCTCCCTAGGTAACGCATTCCAGTGTTTCACCACCCTCCTAGTGAAATAGTTTTTCCTAATATCCAAGCTGGACCTCCCCCACTGCAACTTGAGATCATTGCTCCTTGTTCTGTCATCTGCCACCACTGAGAACAGCCGAGCTCCATCCTCTTTGGAACCCCCCTTCAGGTAGTTGAAGGCTGCTATCAAATCCCCCCTCATTCTTCTCTTCTGGAGACTAAACAATCCCAGTTCCCTCAGCCTCTCCTCATACGTCATGTGCTCCAGACCCCTAATCATTTTTGTTGCCCTCCGTTGGACTCTTTCCAATTTTTCCACATCCTTCTTGTAGTGTGGGGCCCAAAACTGGACACTAGTATTCCAGATGAGGCCTCACCAATGTCGAAATAAAGGGGAACGATCACGTTCCTCATCTGCTGGCAA